AAAAAAAAGAAAAGGAAACGAAGAAAACCATTTTCTCTCAATTATTCTTAGTATTACGTTAGTATCAACATTTTTAATGTAGAATTTTAAAATGAATTATAGAAGAGAATACTTTCTTTTCCTGGTATTTGGATTAAATGGAATATGTTCATTGCCTTTTGAAATTTAATATCTACATAAAGCTCAAGTTTCCTTGCTGGCATGAAAAACTATGACTTACTTCCTAACATATTGTGTTTCGCTTCTTGGAATCTTCACAAAACTCAAGCTAACCCTCTTTTACAAGCCCTGCTCACAGTAGGTGTTCAATACATGCTTGCGAAGTGGCTTCCTGGTCTATATCATAATGGGTCAGTTGGGATTTCTCTTTACTTCCCTTATGTGCCTTCTTCTCTTAAAATTCCCAGGGCCTTTTTAAAGCTGTTTGCTATGACTTTCACCTCCCCTCTCTCCAAATTCTTTGAATTCCATTCTGTACTCAGGCCTTTTCAAAAATGAGACTTTGTTTAAAGCAGTTTTTCCCATTGCATAGCCTTTAAAACCACTGGGGAGCCAGAAAAATGTCTCCAGCTTTATGTATCACAGATTAGAAGGACTAGCTCAGACTGAGTCCTTGACTGATCAAATAAGAAAGCTCAGCTACAGGATGATCAATATGTGTTTACTTAATTCTTTTTCCCCCCACAGCTCTTTGTGAGCATTTCCATAGCCAGAACACCATTTAGTAAATTGCACGGTGCTTAAAACAATAAATGTGTCCTCCAAAAGGCCCAACAAATTCACTGGGAAAATATCAACAAAACAGTCAAAAGCCAGCGGAAGTTGGGATGAGGATAGGGAAGTTGTGAGCACTGAAATGAGATATGTAATTTATAATTAGGAGTAGAAGCACCAGACTTGTAGAGAAAGGATGAATTTCAGAAGCTTTTTGAAAAAAATAGTAAAAGGCAGTTTTCTCTGTCATATTCTTATTTGTAAATTCTAGAAATTCTGCTGAAAGCGGTAGGCTTTCTCAGTGTTACTGAAGCAATCAGTCTACAGATTTTAACACCCAGCATGGGAACTCTTCCTTACCTTTAGTATTTCATTTATCTGTTGATGGTGTACTGATTGATTCAGGTAGCAGTCAGCATTATAAATCATTCTTTGGTTTTAAGAATTATAATTCCTTCCTCTCCACCCAGTTTTCAGATACACATCCTTTAATCAGCAAAACATTGGCAGAAAGTTCCCGGAATGCCTGACAAATGCACAGGCCTAAATGAATTAATTTGTGAATAGCAAAAGCGATTGTGTATGCTTTTGCTGCCAAAGACATATGACCAAACAACAGCATCTTTAAAAAAAAAAAGTGTCAATAATCTCTAGGGGTTATTAGGTCGCAGCAACTACTTTACTGATGAAAGTGGTTCTGCTCCCTTTCTCAGTTCTTTGTCTTTAGTGGGATTTGGAATTTTGTCATTGATTAGCGTTTCAATCATTTTGGAGCACTGAGGAAGGGATTTTAAAATGTTAGTAAAGAAAAATATTTTCCTGCAGATAAAACTGACTTTGCTATATTGCTCAAAGTCACACTTTATAAATCCTGTTTAGGAGTAGAGAGGACTTACGGTCTGGAGTTACTG